ATGCTCCAGACACATCAGCCTAGCGATGGAGGCATGAGCAAGGATTGGGTTTGGGGTGGCAACGTGGTATTTTCTTACTTGACCATCATTCCACCACGTTCCTATTCCAGGCTTGGTATAGCCTCGGCCGCCTGTGTCAGGGTCCTTATCAACACGCGCTTTGAGCTTGAACCCGGGCGTGTTGTTGGGATGCCCAAACATTTCAGCGAATGCCTGGTTTACGGTGGCCAACGCAGGTGAGAGGAGGGGCATGGTTAGTGGCGGTGTAGGTGGGTGTATGGTTAATACAACGATAACTTCATACACGAAACCTTGTTTGCCTCATCGGCATTTTACACCAAAGAATTCAGAGTCGGCTTACCTGAGCTGAGTTTTGGAAGAGCAAGCACTGTGGTGGATGACCGACAATCTCGAAGTTTGCCACCGACCATTCGGGATTGAGCCCTGCCAACCACTCCATCTCAAACCGCTCCAGATCCTTACAGTTCTGGAGCTCCGAGGTCACAAGAGGCGCAAGGCCGAGCTCTACCACGAGCTGAAGCAGGCCGTTAATGTCAACCTCCGCCATTCACGCGCCGAACGAAATGCAGCAGCCTCAAAGCGAGCGGATTGAGGGGCGTGTTGATGTAAGGGCCTAAAAAACTCAAGCTATTAAGAATTCATCAAACTTAAAACCTCTCCTCGGGGTCACCTCCAAGGGTCCTTGGGTGCCTGGTACAAGACCAGCCCCTATCCTTGGGTCCGAGTTTGTAGAGAGAGGGATCAAGAATGACTTAGTCAAAATAACAAGAGTACCTTGAACGGCGCGCAGCGTATCGTGGAGACCGTCGACCGGATTAAGCTGAGAATTTCCTATATCGAAGCTCACTCCAAGAGCTTTAAAATAAGCCAAGTTGCCTTGCAAAAAGTTCTGTCATTACGAAGTTATGGCTCGGACAGCGTTAGCCTAGCGTTGGAGTGCTAGCGTACTAGCGTTGACTCGGGTAGCATTCCGCCGTCGCACCGCATAGAAACGAAATTTCAGGAAGGGAGGAATTCGCTTGAATCAAATTGACTATATTCAGGTACAAACAGAGAAGGAATATATAGTTCTAGCTAGCATGGACCTTGGGAATAAACCTGGGAACAACTAGGGATGATCCCAAATAATTCCAAGCAACAGAACCAACCTGGCTGGACAAAACAGCAGGTAGTAGGTTGGTAAACTACCTCTGGTTCTGTTTTTCCAACCTGGGAAAACAACAACCAGGTTCAGGTCCTAAAAACAGAACCTCTTTTGTCTTTGCCCAACCAGCCAAATGCTGGTTCCGCTGGTTTCCCCTGGCCCTGTAGCATGCAGATACAGGCAAACAACATCCAACCTTCACATAGATTGTACCCCTATAGTGCCTGCCCTGCTACAGTATAGTCAACCAAACAAAACAGTACAATTTCGAGTTGGATAGAACTGAATCTGCGCAATCAAGTAAGTTGAACCGCAAAGCTTCCATCTTGGGTTCCTTTGCGAGCTCGTCCTTTCTGCTTGTACTGTTCATAGCGTGTACAATGTTATGCCGAAGCGCACATTGTGCGAGTACCTGCAAATGCTTCAAGCGAAAATTGCGAAAGCAAACAAACACACGAACATTCCATTCAAATCCAAATGCATTCACACACGCATACTCGTACAAACAGACGGCAGGATGTCGTGCAATGTGAATTTGCACCCAACACACTCCCCCTCAGCCTGTCGGCTGCATCCCCATCATTCCATACTAGTTCATGCTCATTCCACTCATGCGCACACAACGCCAATGAGGCTCATCCGCAAGCCTCTTGGTGAGGAAGTCTGCTGGCTGCTGTTGAGTCTTGATGTAGATCGGATTCACCGTCCCCTTCTTCACCTCCTTACGCAGCCAGTGCCACTTGATACGCATGTGCTTATTGAGCCCATGAAGCACAGCGTTCCTGGCCATCCCAAGAACTCCCTTGCTATCACAAAACAGCGGCGTAGCAACCTTTTGCTCCTGGCCAATCTCCTCTAACAGCCTCCTCAGCCAAATCACCTCCTTCACCCCATGGAACATCGCCATGTACTTTGACTCCACGGAAGAGAGTGCCGTCTCCGTCTACTTCTTTGACCTCCAACTAAAAGGTCCTCCGCCAACTACGCAGATGTATCCTACCACAGATGAGGAGTCCTCCTTCTCAGAAGCCCACGTAGCATCAGTAAAGCTAGTGAGAAACAGCTTGCTTTCTCCAAGCCGCTCCCCCTTCTCTTTCAGAACCTCAACCCCTTTCTGCTTTACATGTGCAGATGCGGAGTATTGAACTCCAATGCTTGGGTGAGAGTTCAGATACTTCACCACACGCTCAGCTGCATCCACTTGCTCCTCTGATGGATTCTGCACCACCCTAGCCAGCTGTCAAACCGAGAAAGAGATGTCAGGCCTCGTGTGAACTGCTGCATACAAGAGGCTGCCCACCAAGGACTGAAATTGTTGCTGCTCCTCGGCTTCAACTCCGTCATCCTCTGCAGTTTTCACAAGCTTGAATTCTGCTGGCAGGGGAGTTGCAACTTTGCGCTCATTCTCAATCCCTTCTCCCCCAGCTCCTTGATGAACTTCTCCTGGTGCAGCTTTTACCACCTGTGATCTGGATCCCTCTCCACATGCATCCCGAGGTAGTACTTTACCTCCCCAAGGTTCTTGCACTTGAAGTTCTCCATCAGCTGCTGCTGCACCTTCTGGATCTCCTTCATGCTGCTGCTAAAGAGAAGAATGTCGTCCACATAGACCAGAAACAGCACCAGCTTCTCCCCCTCCCCCTTGAGAAAGAGGCTCTCATCACAGCTGCTGGTCCTGAATCCCATCTCCTCTAAAACAGCTGCAAACATCTGGTACCAGCACCGTGGCGCATGCTTCAAGCCATAGATGGACCTTTACAGCTTGCACACCCTGCTCGTACCGTCCTCATGCCCAGGCGGCTGCGTCATGTACACATCCTCCTCTAAAATCCCATTGAGGAATGCCGTTGATATATCCATCAGAATGATGAATTTCCCACTAACGGTTGCATCTGCCAACAAGACACGGAGGGTAGGGGGTTTGGCAGTGGGAGCAAAGATCTCATGAAATTCCTGCTTCTCCTTTTGCATAAACCCCTTAGCCACCAGCCTACTCTTGTAGATGGTGACCTGTCCCTTGTCATCAGTCTTGATCCTTAGCACCCACTTGCAAAGTACGCCTTTCTTTCTCTCAGGAAGCACCACCATCTCCCATGTCCCATTCTCTAGCAGGCTCTGGTACTCAGCATCCCTGGAAACCAGCCACTTCTCCCTATCTGGTCCAGCTAATGGCTCCTCCATGCTAGCTGGTTTCTTTGGTGCATGGGCAAGAAAACAGTAGGCAGGTTCATCCTCCTCATTCGGATCATAGCCATGCGGTAGAATCAGCAATGCCTCCTCTGTCCCAAGCTGCTGCTCTGCTTCATCAGCTCCTGCAGTCAGCTTCTTAGTAGCCATACAGGTATGTCCTGGCCTGGAGACGGGTGTCTCCCATCCCTTCATAACGACACCCTTCAGCTTCTTAGTTTTCCCCTGCTGCTGCTCTCCTCCCTCGGATCCAGCAGCTCCACTAGTGCTACCGCTAGTCTCCACACCATTGTTTTCACCGGCAGGTGCCTCCTGCACCTTCTCTCCAGCACCACCCTCTGCAGCTGCCTCCTCTCCCTCCTCCCACACACTAGGAGTCAGGTCCAAATGCATGGTTATCTGCTCCATCTGCTGGGACACCCTGGCCTCCAGCTGTTTCTCCCAGCTCCCATACATCATGCCCTCAAGAACTTCACATCCCTGCTGTCAAACAATACACCCTTGGAAGGTTCCCACAGCAGCCATCCCTTGCTCTCAGCAGCCAGCCCCAAATGCACACACCAGATTGCACCCGCCCCCAACTTACTGACGGAAATACCATTGCATTTTCCAGGCCCAATCATCATAGCCCTCACCATTGAACTTCTCGACGGTGAAGTTTTTCAGCACCTCCTTGACCAGCGAGCCCTGGTTTGTTCGCGCTCCCCTTGGCGCTGAAACACCAGAATCTTGGCTGCCGCTACGATCTTGGGCTGAAGATTCACCAGGTCCCGTCTAGGTGTTCCCCGCCATAGCTACCTATATCGAGGATCACTATTACGCAGCTCTGATACCAGCTTGTTGGTGTAAGGGCCTAATAAACTCAAGCTATTAAGACTTTATCAAACTTAAAACCTCTCCTCGGGTCACGGCCAAAGGTCGAACGGTCCATGGCGGCTTGTATCACTGCACGACTGGCACTTGATCGTGGCGCTAATGGTAGGGACTGGCTAACGATGGTCGAGCAACGCGGCAGTGACACGGCACGATACTAATTGCTTACAGCACAACATTCTCCTTACCTACAGCATGTCGCCCCCGTTAAGAGCGACCACGTCGTGAGCAGAGGCATATGCAGTGGAGTTTAAGACGGTTGGTCGTGTATGTGCGTGACGAGTACGGTGAAAAATACGTGCCTCTTGATTCAAAAACTTGAATTTTTGAACCGTGCGTGAGAGTCGAGGGGGATGAGGAAGAGCGGGAAGAGATCCGTTTGGTGCCGTGATTCTTTCGAGAATCGCTATAGGTGGGAAAACGCAATCACGTAGGTGAGCCCAAAGTGGTGCGCACCTTTAGAGCCTTAAACAAAACCAGGTAATGAAAAGGTGTAGATACATTTTAAATAGAGACTCAAGTTACTGATAATTATTTACAAATCATACTTTAAGGCCTGCTCAAGCACAACCCCTACTTGACAACCGTAATGTTTAAAAACCCTCCAAGAACTCCGAAGAAACATACAGTAAGCACTATGGTCTAGAAACATAAAAGAAGCACCGAAGAACTCCGTGCCCTAACGTATGATTGTTGCATGTACCGAATATGTTTATTGTCAATTCTGACGAGGTTTAGTGGACCTAAATGCACCGTGCTGAATGAAGATGCAAGAATGGAGCCCAATCCAATACATTACCACAACGGTTTTAACGTCGGATGTAAACCATTCCCTTGATTGTGGCATCATCGCCCTGTCAAAACAAGCCTGTCGAGAACGCATCACCGTTAGTGCGTTGGGCATGTGCCTCATATGCTATAGTCTATCTAGGCTGTAGTGGGGTAGACCCGCAGACCCGCCCCGTCGCCCGTCGCGGCCCCGTCGCTCGTCGCGGCCCCGTTGCCCGTCGAGGCCTGCTGCCCTGCTGCGACCCGCCCTGCCTACGGCGTGGCCCCGCCCCTTCGTCGCGGCCCCGCCCTGCCCCTCCTTCAGCCGCGGCCTCCCAATTGCAGCGGCCGCCGGGGCGTGACCTGCAACAGCTGTCGTCACTGCTGCCGCCGCCGAGTCTGCAGCGGCCGGTGTGACAGCCGCCGCCGCCGTCGCCGCTGCTGTCGCCGCCGTCCCGGCCCTGCCCTGTAGCCGAACCGCGGCCCTGGCCCTGCCGGCGCACCTCGGCCCTGCCCCACCAGTCGCGGCCTCCTACCCACCCGCCCCTGGTAAGCGCACTGCCGAGCCGCGCCGCCCTGCCGAGCCGCGCCGCTTAGCCGACTCGCGCTACTGCTGCTGCTACTAGCTTACTGCTGCTGCTGTCATGGCTAGTCCCACTGTCCTTACCTTCGATGCTGAGGGTCGAGCGGTCGACTTTGAGGTCTGGGTAGATGATCTGCAGCTTTTCCTACAGTGCGATAGCAAGGACGGTCTCTCACTATTCGATCTCACGTCCGGCGCCTCTGCTGCCTGTGCTTCTGATGCTGACAGTACTGTTCGCTCACAGTGGACCACACGCGATGCTGCTGCCTGCCTTGCTGTGTGTAGTCACCTACCGTCCACTGAGCGCGCGCACTTTAGTTACTACAAGAGTGCTAAGACTCTGTACGACGCTGTAGTTGCACTCTACTCCTCCCCTGCCACTACTGCCCTTAGTCGCCTCATGCTGCCGTATCTGTTCCCTGACCTCGCTGCCTTTGCCACAATCCCTGACCTCATTACGCACCTCCGCACTAGTGACACCCGCTACCGCGCTGCACTTCCTGCTAAGTTCTGCGCCAAGAAACCCCCCCCCCCCCCCCCCCCCCCCATGTACATCACCCTCTACTACCTAGTTACCCGGCTCCCTGACTCCCTTCGCTCGGTCAGGGACCACTTCCTCTCTGTTTGCCCCACCATACTCACCGTTGACATCCTCAAGGAGCACCTCCTTGCAGCTGAGAAGAGTATAGTCGCTGTAGGAGCCTCTCGTGGCGACCCTCGTGCCCCTTTCCTTGAGGGGTGCTCCCCCGTCCCCCTTTTGCCCTCTGTTGCCTCTGCTGCTGCTCTCGACCTCGTTGGCACCGAGTTGCTCGGCGCTCCGTCTGCTCCTAGTGGGAGGCGCTGCAACGGCAAGGGCAAGGGGGGCAAGGGCGCTAGCGGGGGCGGCGGTGGTGGCGGTGGGGGCGGCGGAGGGGGTGGGGGTGGGGGCTTCGGTGGCCGCGGTGGAGGTGGAGGCGGCGGCGGCGGCGGCGGTGGGGGTGGAGGCGGCAGAGGCGGCAGCGAAGGTAGAGCTGGTCGGGTTGGAGCTGTGCAGCGGGGAGACTTTGGTGGTGGTCGGCGCCAGTAGCACCAGCGCTCTCGTCAGACCCCGTCGCCCCAGCAGCTTCGTGAGTGGTACGCTGCGCGCCAGCGGTCTGGGGGTGCTGGTCCCTGTGCTTACGTCCTGCGTATGGGCGACCGCACTGGGGAGCCGTGCGGTGGGCCGCACGCCACCCAGCGCTGCTTTGGCCGCCTGAGAGACGCCTGGCGTCTCCAGTTCCCTGACGCCACTGAGATCCCTCGCTGGGGTGATCTGCTCAAGTCGGGTGTAGCTATCTTTGATCTTGATTATGATGCTATTCTTGCTGCCATGTATGTTGTCTCTACTAGTGCTGAGGGTAACTGTTACCTGTGTGTTCCGCCTGACCTGGGCATGGAGGCTGCTGCTCTAGGTGCTAGTGAGTCTGCTGCTCCAGGTGCTAGTGAGTCTGCTGCTCCATGTGCTAGTGAGTCTACTGCTCCGGTACTGCGTCGGCCCAGGCTTTGCACACCTTCACCCTTGACTCGGGTGCTTCCCGCTCCTTCTTTCGAGACCGCACCACACTCACGCCGCTTAGTCGGCCGGTTGAAGTCTCACTGGCAGACCCCCCTGGGGGTCCTGTCCTTGTCCACTACTCCATTGTCCTACCGTGTCCGGCCGCCCCTCCTGGCTCCCTGTCAGGTCTTTACCTCCCCTCATTCTCTACGAACTTGGTGAATGGTGCTGACCTCCACGATAGGGGGGTTGACCAGTTCACTCCTGCGAGTCAGCGAGTGACCCACTGCACGTATGCTTGGACGGGCCGACACTTGGCCACGTTTACCCGTCACACTGACTACCGAGTCTCCTCCGGTCACTGCGTCTCGTCAGGTAGCTGCGTCGGGTCAGGTGTTTGCAGCTGCGTCCAAGTCTGGTCGTGAGTCTGCCCCCGGCTCGTATCGTCTCCTGTCTCACCAGACTCTCCTCTGGCACCACTGCCTTTGTCACCCCTCCCTGCCTTGTCTCCGAGGCATGGCCTCCCATGTCGTTGTCTCTGGTCTCCCCCGGTCCCTCCCTCCCCTCCCCCCGGGGCCTGCCCCTACCTGCGTTCCCTGCGTCGAGGGGCGGCAGCGCGCCGCTCCTCACTCCTCCGAGCTTCCTCCGACAGAGGCTCCGCTGCAGACTCCATATGGATGTGTGGGGCCCAGCCCGCGTTCGTGGACAAGGTCACGAGCGTTACTTCCTGCTGGTGGTTGACGACTACTCGCGTTACACTACAGTCTTCCCCTTGCGCTGCAATGGTGAGGTCACTGAGGTGTTCATCAACTAGATCCGCGCTGCCCGTCTCCAGCTCAGAGAGAGTTTTGGCTCTGACTTTCCTGTTCTGCGTCTGCACTACGACAGAGGTGGGGAGTTTTCCTCCAACCTTCTGCGAGCCTTCTCACGTGCGGAGGGCATCCGCCAGACGCTCACACTTCCGGCCTCTCCACAGCAAAATGGGATTGCTGAGCGCCGCATTGGCATGGTCTTGGACGTCGCTCGTACGTCTATGATCCATGCGGCTGCTCCCCATTTTCTGTGGCCGTTCGCGGTTCAGTACGCGGCAAATCAGATCAACCTTCAGCTCCGGGTCTCCCTGCCGGAGAGCTCCCCTACTCTGCGGTGGACGGGGAAGGTTGGCGATGCGTCTGCGTTCCGTGTCTGGGGATCTCGAGCTTTCGTCCTCGACTTGTCTGCGAACAAGCTGTTCTCGCGTGCTGTTCCCTGCGTCCTCCTTGGCTTCCCCCTTGACGCGCCTGGTTGGCAGTTTTACCACCCCACCTCGCGCCGTGTTCTGTCCTCCCAGGACGTCACATTTGACGAGTCGGTTCCAAAATACCGTCTCTTCCCCTACCGCGATGCCCCCCTCCCTCCCCCCCGCCGCTCTTTCTCGCGCGAGGCCCCCCCACTGTAGACCCCCTCCCTCCTCAGGGTTCTGCCCCCTCAGGTGTGTCCCAGGTAGACGCAGTCGAGCCTGTCGAGGTAGCTGTTGACTCTGGTGCTGCTAGGGGTGCTGAGCCTGCAGGTGCTGGGTCTGGGGGTGCTTAGCCTGAGCGTGCGGAGCCTGGGGGTGCTGAGTCTGGGGGTGCTGAGCCTAGGGGTGCTGAGCCTGGGGTTGGTGAGTCTAGGGGTGCGGAGCCTAAGGGTGCTGAGCCTGCGCGTGTAGAGTCTGGAGGTGCGGAGCTTGGAGGTCCTTCGGGTGCCTCGTCCCGGCGGGAGCCACTCTCTCCGCAGCAGCTGTGCGAGTGGTTGCTCGGCGCTGGAGCCGTGCTGCTGGAGCTGGTGGTGCTGCCAACGCTGGAGGTTCTATTGCTGCTGGGGGTGCTGGAGCCACGGGTCTCGGAGGTGCTGGTACTGGACGTACTGGAGCTGCTGGGCCTGGTGGTGCTACTGGTGCCGGACCTGCTGGTGTTGCTGGAGCTAGCGGTGCTGCTGGAATAGGTGCTCCTGGAGGTACTGGAGCCGGAGCTGCTGCGTCTTCCCGTGGTCCTGCTCGAGCTGGAGCTGCTGGAGGTGCTGGAGCTGGAGGTGCTGCTGGAGCCGGTGCTCCTGTGGGTGCTGGAGTTGGCACTTCTGGAGCAGCTGGTGGTGCTGCTGGAGTTGGTGGAGCTACTGGAGTCGGCGCCAACGTTGGGGGTACTGGTGCTGTCCCTGCTCGTTCTGGAGGTGCTGCGCGACCACGGCCGTACTTCGTTCCGCTCCTTGAGCAGGTTCTTGGTCTTCCGCCTTCTACTGGTTCTGCTCCTTCCTTAGGGTGTCCACCGCCTGTCCAGTCAGAGTCACAGTTACAGCTGGCCTCCCCACTGCCTTCTCCTTCTCCCTACACTAGTCCTACTAGAGGTCTTACTATGCGTCGCATGTTCGTGCTACTCGCGCTGGTCGTCGTATTCCGCGTTAGCGTCCTCCTGCGGTCCCGCGCACACAGTGGATGGCACTACGTCCTTCCAATGCTCCACAGCGTATCCCTTTGCCGTCTCCTCCAGAGTCCTCTCTTCCTGCTCTTGCTGACCCGGAGTCTGACTCCCTTCGTGTTGCCAGTCCTACTATCACGCGACTCCTGGCTACTGTTGTCACTGACCCTTCCTTTGAGTCCACTGCTGCATCTGCCTTAGTTGCTGAGCTTGTTGACTTTGCTGCTCACTATCGTCTAGGCTACGCCGCCAGTCTTGTTGCTGAGTCTGAGTCTGTCTGTCCTCCGTCTGTCGCGGATGAGTGTGCTCTAGGCACGGACGTCCTTGAGAACAGGCAGGAGGAGTTCCGATGTTTTGCTGCTGCTTTACCTCATCTCGTATCCATGCTAGTTGCCCCTGAGGGAGACCCGGATGCACCAGACATCCCAACCCCGCGCTCTTATGTAGAGGCGATAGAGGGTCCCTACTCCTCTCAGTGGCAGTGAGCCATGGATGCAGAGATGGCTTCCTGGAAGTCCACAGGCACCTACGTCGACGAGGTTCCCCCACCTGGGGCGAACATCATCAGTGGCATGTGGATTTTCAGGGTGAAGCGGCCGCCGGGTTCTCCGCCTGTCTTCAAGGCGCTATACGTGGCTCGAGGCTTCAGTCAGCGGCAGGGAGTTAACTACTTTCAGACCTTCTCTCCCACCCCGAAAGACCACTCTTCGGGTGCTGCTGCACATAGCCGCTCAGCGTGACTACGACTTCCGCACTGCTTTTCTACGAGGCAGCTTGCACGAGGAGATCTGGCTGCGCCGCCCTTCTGGCTTCACTGGGTCGTTTCCTCCTGGTACCCAGTGGAGCCTCCGGGGGCCAGTCTATGGTCTCAGCCAGGCGCCACGTGAGTGGCACGACACACTGAGGAGTACACTTGCGGCTCTTGGGTTTGCTCCTTCTACTGCCGACCCGTCTCTGTTTCTACGCACTGACACCTCTTTGCCGCCGTTCTACATCCTCATGTACGTTGACAACTTGGTCTTTGCTACTGCTGATACTGCTGGACTCGCCCACGTGAAGTCCCAGCTGCAAAAGAGACACACGTGCACAGACCTGGGTGGACTGCGCACCCATCTTGGCTTGCAGATCACCCGGGACTGAGCATGGCGCACCAGTACCCTGATTCAGTCACACATGGTGCAGCAGGTCATTCAGCGCTTCGACTTTACGTACTCCTCGCCTCAGGCCTCTCCTCTGTCTACTCACCACTCGCTCTCAGCTCTGCCTTCTGATGAGTCCGTAGAGAAGAGTGGCCCGTACCCAGAGCTTGTTGGCTGCCTCATGTACCTGATGACCTGCACTTGACCTGACCTGGCATACCCTCTTAGCATCTTGGCACGCTATGGTGCGCCTGGGAGACACCGACCAGAGCACATGGCTGTAGCGAAGAGGGTGTTGCGCTACTTGTGCAGTACGTCGGGCATGGGGCTAGTGCTTGGAGGGCGGAGTCCAGTGGTCCTCACTGGTCACGCAGACGCGTCTTGGGTTGACGACTTGGCTATGCAGCGGTCGTCACAGGGTTACACCTTCAGCATTGGTTCCGGCTCTGTTTCGTGGCGGTCTACCCGCTCGTCTTCTGTTCTCAGCTCCAGCTGTGAGCCTGAGATCTACGCGGGGGCCATGGCTGCACGGGAGTTACGCTAGCTCACCTACCTGCTGACTGACCTGGGAGAGCCGCCTCGTTCTCCTCCAGTTCTGCACGTAGACAACAAGGCAATGCTGGCCTTGTGTCGAAAGCACAGACTGGAGTACAGAACGAAGCACATCGCTCTTCGTTATTTCCTTGCTCGTGAGCTGCAGCAGCATGGTCAGCTGCGTCTTGCTTACGTGGCCTCTCGGGCCAACACTGCTGATATCTTCACCAAGGCGCTTCAGCCTTGTGATCATCAGCGCTTCCGTACTATGTTATGTCTTGTGCCTACTTGGCCTCACTTGCTTACCTCTTGACTTTGCTTGTATCGTGATCTATATACACCTGCACCTGTTTGTTTACCTTTATATATAATCCTGCATGTGAACTGGCCTTGTGGCCTTTGAACATGTGCTCGGAATGTGTGGTGACGTTGTGATCCACCCTGAGCTTGCTTTGCTTTGCTTTGCTTGACTGGTCTTGTGAGCCCTTGTTCTCCCCCACTTTGCCTATGGGGGTGTGTCAAACTCATATACTATAGTCTGTCTATGATGTAGTGGGGTAGACACTATAGGGTACAACACTTCTAGGTTTCCTACTTGTACCCACATGTTTCCTAGTCAATTCATTCCTCATTCTTCACATCATACCACTCCTTTTAAGCACCTTGTTGAATGTCCGTGCAAGAATGGTGCCCTTTCCAACACCATACGACAACGGATTCAACATGTCGAGCAACACATAGGTCTGAACGCTGCAACGACGCCCCGTCTAAACAAGGCTGTTGATAACGCATCACCGCTAGTGCGTTGAGCATATGCTTCATACCACTCCTTCTAAGCACCCTGTTGAATGTCCGTGCAAGAATGGAGCCCAATCCAACACCATACCACAACGGATTCACCATGTCGCGCAACACATAGGCCTGAACGCTGCAACGTCGCCCTGTCTGAACAAGGCAGTCGATAACCCATCACCGCTAGTGCGTTGAGCATATGCTTCATACCACTCCTTCTAAGCACCTTGTTGAATGTCCGTGCAAGAATGGAGCCCAATCTAACAGCATACCACAACAGATTCACCATGTCGCGCAACACATAGGCCTGAACGCTGCAACGTCACCCCGTCTAAACAAGGCTGTCGATAACGCATGACCGTTACTCTGTTGGGCACGTGCTTCATGCCACTTCTTCTAATCACTTTATTCAATGTCCGTGCAAGAATGGAGCCCAATCCAAAAACATACCACAACGGATTCACCATGTCCAGGCCTATGTGTTGCGCGACATAGGCCTGAACGGTGCAACGTCGCCCAATCTAATCAAGCCTGTCGATAGCTCATCACCGCTAGTGCGTTGGGCAGCTCCACCATGTCGCGCAACACATAGGCCTGAATGGTGCAACGTCGCCCCGTCTAAACAAGCCTGTCAAGAACGCATCACCACTAGTGCGTTGGGCATGTGCTTCATACCACTCCTTCTAGACACCTTGTTGAATGTCCGTGCAAGAATGGAGCCCAATCCAACACCATACCACAACAGATTCACCATGTCGCGCACCACATAGTCCTGAACAGTGCAACGACGCTCCGTCTAAACAAGCCTGTCGAGAACGCATCACCGTTAGTGCGTTGGGCATGTGCTTCATGCCACTCCTTCTAAGCACCTTGTTGAATGTCCGTCCAAGAATGGAGCCCAGTCCAACACCATACCATACCGGATTCACCATGTCACGCACCACATAGGCCTGAATGGTGCAACGTCGCCCCGTCTAAACAAGCCTGTCGAGAACGCATTACCGTTATTGCGTTGGGCATGTGCTTCATACCACTCCTTCTAAGCACCTTGTTGAATGTCCGTGCAAGAATGGAGCCCAATCCAACAGCATACCACAACGGATTCACCACGTCGCGCAACATATAGGCCTGAACACTGCAACGTCGCCCCGTCTAAACAAGGCTGTCGATAACGCATCACCGCTAGTGCGTTGGGCATATGCTTCATACCACTCCTTCTAAGCACCTTGTTGAATGTCTGCGCAAGAATGGAGCCCAATCCAACACCATACCACAACGGATTCACCATGTCGCGCAACACATAGGCCTGAACGCTGCAACGTCGCCCCGTCTAAACAAGCCTGTCAATAACGCATCACCGCTAGTGCGTTGGGCATGTGCTTCATGCCACTCCTTCTAAGGACCTTGTTCAATGTCCGTGCAAGAATGGAGCCCAATCCAACACCATACCACAACGGATTCACCATGCCGCGCAACACATAGGCCTGAACGCTGCAACGTCGCCCTGTCTAAACAAGCCTGTGAGAACGCATCATCGCCGGTGCGTTGGGCATGTGCTTCATGCCACTCCTTCTAAGCACCTTGTTGAATGTCCGTGCAAGAATGGAGCCCAATCCAACACCATACCACAACGGATTCACCATGCCGCGCAACACATAGGCCTGAATGCTACAACGTCGCCCCGTCTAGACGAGCTTGTCGATAACGCATCACCGCTGGTGCGTTGGGCCTGTGCTTGATACCACTCGTTCTAAGCACCTTGTTGAATGTCCGTGCAAGAATGGAGCCGAATCCAAAACTATTCCACGACTGTTATTCATTTGGCACTATTGATCGTCGTGTTAGAATATCGTCCGCTCCCACGTAACCGTTGTGGCATAGCCTAAAGATGCTTAGTACAAATGTCAAAAGTAATACTTTTGGACACTCTTTCTGTGTGTGACATGAGACAAACCCACTAGCTTACCACAACCCCATAGTAAACCATTAGCAACATAATTTTAGATGAATGTATTTGTTGAATTTTTTAATTTTATTTAGCTCCTATGTGGAACCCTGTGTGTTCGCGATAGCATTGTACTTTGTAGGGATTTGGTAACATTCGCACTACTGGTTCCAAAACCGTTTTACCATGTGTAGTGATTGATGCATTGGCAACTGTGATTGGTCGTCGCATCTCAAACGATTCCCCCCGCAACACAAGCACCAGCCAAGAGGTATTTCCGCCATTGAGCGGCTGAGATCGAGTGGTAGGTGGGTTTATGCTCGGGTGGCTACACGTACACCGTCCGATATTGCCTGATAGGGTTACAATAACCTAACTAGTCTCGCAACCCACCCCAACCTCGTGCCCCACCCACCTGCTTCCGTCTCCCTCTGCGCCAATACTTTGACGCTGCTCGCTGTTTGACAGGCGTTTCCAGATCGCCCGTGTCTCACCAGTATACTAAGTCATGGGCCGTAGCTCTGTGCTTAGTGGCTACTATTTCAGTTCTAGTTGAAGCGAAGGTTTTTGGAGAAGAATAACGGTGATAGATCGTCGATTATCCTTTCGTGGGATTCAGTTGCGGTACCCCTTAGGAACCGGCTCAACTGTTCAGCATGGTAGAAATTAGCATTCCTACAACAACCATGATACGTGCAA